ACCCCTGACATTCTGTGATTCTGTAAATCCCACTGTGGCAGCAAATTCCCACAATCTGATCTCACTGCTCTTGGGGACGGAGAAGGAGGATGCCCACAGAAGCCTTTGGGTGGATCGTGGTGGGCAGCAGCACCCGGTCAGCTTCAGCCGTGCGTTTGGTGGGGCTCTGGGTTGTGCAGGGCTGGTGCTGTGAACGGTCGTGCTGACACGTGGGACTCGCAGCTCTAGGGGTGCATTAGGCACAGGGTGGAGCATAGGGTGCCCAAAGCAGGAGTTGGCTCCGTACCAGGAGCTCTGAGATAAGGTCAGAGTATCCAAAGCTGAAGGTGGGTTGGGTGCTTTCTGGGAAGCTGTATGGAGTGGAAGCAGGAGCTTGCTCTGCCCAGACACGGTGAGCCGTGGCTCCAGCTCAGGGGTGGGGTCCTGGGCCCTAAGCTGGTGGGAGCTCCTCTGCACCAGCCAGGGTTTCGAGGTGCACAGGCCTGTGTACGGAGCGAGTTAGGAACATCTTTAGTGGCTCCTGGCCAAGAGGACCTCTCCACAGGCCAGGGGCATCGGGAGGAGTTAGAGGAGCGCGCTGCGGGCAAAGGGCACCCCTGCATCTCCCCAGCATCTCTACTCCAGCTCCATCAGAGCAGTGCTCAGCGGAGGCTGCAGGAGTACGGGGCGGGATGCTCAGGAACGCAAGAGCCCACTGCCCAGCTGCACAGTGCCCATGGCTGTGGGATATAGAGCTACAAGTGGGAACCAGGCTTTTGTGAGGGTGACAGATGATGCCCCTGTAACCGCAGGGCTGCCCCCCTCCAGCAGGCAGGGCCACTTGCATGCACTTGGGCACTGGGAGGGTTTTAAACTCTTGGGAAAATGCTGATGGTGGGGAGAGCTGAGTTGTCTGGCTGACCCACCCTGGGACAGCCGCGTTCATTTTGTGCTGGATCTGCGTGGTGGTCCAGACTGACAGACCCTCGCCTCGTGTGTTTGAGCCCAGTTAAAGGTTAGTGCTGGGGGGGTGTACTTTTCAGCGTGGCTGAAGGTTGGTGCTCGGTGTCTTTCTGCACGGGCAGCACGGGCGGCTCCGCTGGAACCAAAAGGGGGTGCGGAGGCCGGACCCGGGGCTGCACTGGACCCTTGGCCGGTCACCGCTCCCCTTCTCCTGCTGTCAAGAGCTGCAACACCTCAAAACCTGGGATTGTGTGGGGTGGGAGAAGGGATGTTTTCCTTCTGAGTTGAGGCAAGTGAGAGGGTAGGTGTCCCCCTGAGGAGCAGGGGGTCTGTGGGCAGCGCTGACGTGGTGCTGACAGGAGGGTGCCTGTTTTGGGGAGG